TGCCCCTTTCAGTATCAGAATTCAATATCCTCAAAGTAATACAACTTCTCTTTCTCAAAATTCCTAAAATCCATATGTCCAGAATTTCTCAAGATCTATAACTGGAGCGTAACTGCAGTGATGAGCGGGGTGATGGATTGACGGAGGCCTCAGATTTCAGGGTTATTGAAATGTTAGCACATAGTGTTCCCTCAGCTCTTCTATGTTACCCATATTATGCTATCTTGATAATATATGGACATTTTCTGGATTTCAAACATTATCCTGCATTTACATAAGGTTCAATTTACCGTAAATTAAATACCCAGGGCTCATCTATAAGACATTAACATTCAGGCCCGGATTAAGAACACATAGGGCCCTGGGGCTATAGCAAACCCAAGGGCCCCCCTTCATAGTAGCTTATCTTGGTGCCACAACATTTTCATTTTTTTAAATCAAATCTCTAACACACAGAGATACAATTTTAGTTTTTTTAATTTTATTTATCCTTTATTTTACCAGGATAGTCCCATTGAGATGCAAAATCTCTTCTTCCAGGGAGTCCTGGCCAAAATGGCAGCACAAAAAGTTCATTAATGCCATATTTCTACAGTGTCAGTAACTGCATGTTAAATTAAATTGCTTATTTACAGTTTTGTACAGTTTACCTCTACACTTTAGTTTACATGGTCGGTGCTATTCAATCTGGTTTCCGCTAGCTTCACCACAGATACTTTACTGTTCAAATATAAGTGTCATGTGTGTGTCGAATTCAAGCGCTGCTTATTATCAATTCAACAGAGCGGCAAAAGCGTCGAGCTACAGTCGCGGGTGGGAGACACCCAGTGTTGCCAAGTCCGAGGTTTTCCCGCGGAATTGGGCTACTTTAACACTGTTGCCGCGGGTTGTTTTTCATGTCCGCGGGTTGAATCGACTCCAATAACATGATATTTATCCCCTGGAATGCGAATTTCAGCAGGAAACCCCGCCAAAGAACGTGCCCCGTGCCCCCCCCCCGGATTTTTAACTGGGGGCCCCCTCAAAACGCATTGGGCTAGTTTTGAGTAGCGATTGGGCGGGTTTTCTTGTGAAAACCTGGCAACCCTGGAGACACCGGTTCGGTGTTGTCCAGCTGTTCTTTTGCGCTGCGCGGTTTAATCAGGTAAGCCTAATTTAGTTCCGTTTCATCACTTGGCTTTTAGTGTTTGTTTCCGATGCGCTACAGTGAAGCCGAAGCGATTAAAAGATACCTGCAACTCTAGTGTAAACTACGAGTACAAAGACATTTTTATCGCTCATATCTTTTGGACTGAAATAGCACAGACACTAATATGTGGGGGCGTGGTGGGATTTCTGCAATCGGCACACCGGGAAAAGCTCGGGTGCTCCCCATGGCCAATCAATTCTACTTTTCCTTTCCTCCACAGCCAATCACGTCGGGCCCCCTCAATTCGCGGGCCCTGGGGCTTCACCCCCGCCTAGTCTTTATGTTAATCCGGCCCTGTTAACATTATAGCCTACCCTTGAGCATGCCACCTAACCCCAGGTTACTCCAAGAGGATTCCTCACTTTGAATTCAAGTGTCTGATCAAAGACTACACACTCTGCTTGAAACACAGCATGCAAGAGGATGCTTAGGCTTACAATGAAAATAAATATTCTAAAACAACTGCTAAATAAAAGCGTTAATTTATTAATCACTGAACATATTCCTTCGCTTTCAATGCCACAAACGCACATCTCATAAAACACACCTATATAGTCATTAAAAAAACATATATCTTTGCTTATAGAAATGAAAAAATGTCTTAGAAACTTTTGTACAAATTAAGAATTACTATTAGCGTATAAACTAAAAAAAAAACATACCAAACTTCAATAAGGAGAGGAGATCGCACATGCAATTTTTTTTGTAAGAAATCTTCTACCATTATGTGTGTGAGTTCCTCTCTTTGTTGAACTTTTAAAGTTTTGTAAAAATGTATAGTCATCCTAAAACACATCCAACAATTCTACAGCATGTGTAACAGGTCAGAAACATCTCACCTTTAAGAAAATCTGGATAACAGGACAGACCAGGAACTGCGGGCGGCCTCTGTACTGAAAGAGGGTTTTGATAGCATTCTGTGATGGCTCAGCAAAACCCTTTAACTCTTTATGGAATTAGTATGCAGTGCAGACCAATGAGACTTCATGCTGTTGAAAGCCAATATACCCCTCCCAGCCTCACACATATAAATAACCCTTGCTTTCAAGATTGTTTTTCTTATTTTATTGCTTATTTACTTTACTCAGTATCCTAATGAGTTACTGCACTCTGAAAAGCATAAATCACTATAGGAGACAAAACATTCAACCAAAATCTACAACCATCACATCTACTTTAACAAGCAACATGAATGACAGTCTGTTTTACTGGGTCATTTTGATAAAATAAATTTTTATTTTTATGTATTTATTTTCACACACACACACACACACACACATATATATATATATATATATATATATATATATATATATATATATATATATATATATATATATATATATATATATATATATATATATATATATATATATATATATATATATATATATATATATATATATATATATATATATATATATATATATATATATATATATATATATATATATATATATATATATATATATATATATATATATATATATATATATATATATATATATATATATATATATATATATATATATATATATATATATATATATATATATATATATATATATATATATATATATATATATATATATATATATATATATATATATATATATATATATATATATATATATATATATAATTATTATTTTTTTAATTTGGAAGTACAAAAGTAATTTAACAGATTCAAATATTTAAGAAATCAATGAGTTTGGTGCAATATAGGTCTTCCATGTGGAAAAAATTATACGTAATTGTCAACGCCGGAACCACATTCCAAACAGTTAATAGCCAATTCGTCACAACAGTCAAGTGTTTGGAATTCATGGAGCAAAAGTACACCACATTCCTACATATCTAGAAATTACAGAATTTGTCATGTACATGTTGTCTTGCAGGTCCATATGCTACTATTCTGCTCCTTCCATCTATAAGCAATATATTTTAAACACCACTGCAGTGCAGCAATTACAGAAAATTCACGACATGAGCCAAAAATATACTAGTCATCCTCAGGAGAAACTGTATCCATCAAGTCTGACTGACCTTTCATTTAGTAGACAGTTTCCGTGGGATAGAAACACCTACCCCTCACAGGAAACTTTGTGCTATTTCAGATTTTCAAAAAGTGGGGACATGGGGTAATGTCCTGAAAACATTAGCTTCACCTTCTCTTTGTAATACCTATGTCATACCTTGTCATTATACAAATTTATGTCCTTGTGTCCCAGCAGGCTTCTAATTCCGGGGGGGGGAGGATGGTGTCAAAGCTGTCATCAACATGTGTGTACATGTGTGCATGAGTGTGTGCGTTTGATGCTAGCTGTGTCTCTATGAATGATCCCAATTTGAGACCCCAATTGGTGCTGCCAGTCCAACCCTGATAGAAACAATCCTGAAATAGTTAAGACATGACGTCAAACCAATTTTACCCATTAACACTTCCACATTAACTCCTTCAGCCCCAGCTATAGCACTCAGAGAAACATATATATATATATATATAAACTCACTGGATGGTGTCAAGTAATTGGTTAGTAGGTAATTTTTGACAAGCTAATTTTGGCTGTTCATATACTGTAAATGAAAGTAGCATCTTGACCAGGGCAAAAATCGAATTCCTGAATAAATAAGAATATTCATGTTCCGTTTATTCATCCTAAAACCAATACCAGCAGTCATGTCATGGAAACGCTACAATTTTTTAATGTCTTCATCAAGAAAACCATATTCCCAGCTGTATTAGAAAGCAATAGTTCTGTATTCTGTATAATCTGTTCGAGAGCAGTGGCCAGCTGCATAAACGTACAAGTTAGAAATTCTCATTTTTTTCTTTAAGATTGGTCATAACATTTAAATCAGTAACATGAATTGTTCTAATTTGAATCTGAAAAGTAAAACAGATGACCCTTTTGCTAATTGCTAGTTGGTCAGACTAGTTCTTTAGTCACAGTCTTAACATATGAGTTGTGTTAAAGCAACCGGCCCCCGGTTTGTTTCATCAGCTGTTCGATCAGAGTGATGACACAACGCTTCTCATTTGCAATGACTGTGTGAGCAACCAGATCCCCCAAACACACTGATTCTCATAAAAGAAGATGAGACAATCCATGCTTTTTTTGAACACACTCTTTCTTTAGCTCAGCCCTGCTATACATAGGCAGGTTGACAGATGTTCTGATATGACCACAAATGTTTCTCAGTGCCAAACCTTGCCATGAGACATTTCAAATAATGTCACAATCCTAATCCTCAAAAAACAACTGTAACAATATTTCAACATTTACTTAAATCCATTAAATTATACCTTTTTAACTAAATGTGACCCTGGACCACAAAACCAGTCTTAAGTCGCTGGGGTATTGTAATGTGGGGTTTGGGTTTTGTTCCATGTTCATGTTTTCATGTCTTTTATTTTGTAATTGTTTCACCCTGTTTGTGTCATGCTTCCCTTGCCCTCATGTATTCATGCCATTGGTTCACTTGTTCATTGTGTCATGTTCTGATTGGTTGTCTTAGTCATGTGTCTTGTTTCCCATTGGTTTGTTCATGTCATGTGACCCTCCTTGTCTAAGTAGCCATCTTGTTGCCATTGTCTCTTGTCATGTATTGAAGTTGTAACCCACTGTTGGTGAGTCTAGTCTGTTCATGTCAAGTCAAATCTGTTCATGCCTCGTCAAGTCAAGTCTGTTCATGTCAAGTCAAGTCTCGGATTATTGTTTGGATGTTTGGATCACACTGTAAATAAACTGCACTTGGGTTCTTCACTACGCTCGCCTTCAGTGGACTGAATTTGTTACAGAATACACGAACCTCAGCAAAATGAACCCAGCAGTTTCACGTCTTCTCTGCCTGCGTCAGGGCGGTCGGGCTATAGAGGAGTATGTGGCCGATTTTTGTGAGGTATGCCACTTTGTGGATTTTAATGACGTGACCCTCAAAGACATTTTTCGTTTTGGTATCGATGAACCCCTTCGTTCAAGTTTGCCAGGGGGAACTATTTGTTGGTCACTGGAACTTTATATTGACTTTGTTCTGTTGTTGGCTGGGTCATCTCTTACTGTGGGAATTGCGGATGAGGAGCCCCGCAACTGTGCTGTACGTTTGGATCACCTGTAAATAAACTGCACTTGGGTTCTTCACTACGCTTGCCTTCAGTGGACTGATTCGTTACAGAATACACGACCCACACTATGAACCCAGCAGTTTCACGTCTCCTCTGCCTGCATCAGGGCGGCCGGGCTATAGAGGAGTATGTGGCCGATTTTTGTGAGGTATGTCACTTTGTGGATTTTAATAACGTGACCCTCAAAGACATTTTTCGTTTTGGTATCGATGAACCCCTTCGTTCAAGTTTGCCGGGGGGAACTATTTGTTGGTCACTGGAACTTTATATTGACTTTGTTCTGTTGTTGGCTGGATCACCATTCACTGTGGGAACTGTGGATGATGGTACCCACAGTCCCGCAGCACCTACCAAGCCACAGTCTGCTAATGTCATGCCTGCTATGCCAAAGCCTGCTCACATAATGTCTGCCAAGCCACAGCCTGCTCACGTCATGTCTGCTAC